GATGTCGACCACATTTTCTCACACTTCTACGACGGTATAATAACAACTGTATAGATTCTATAATTATTATTTCTCCCCAATAGGTATAGTCCAGATTGTTAGATGTCAATTTCCGGTGGGAACGCGTATACATCATAGACGAATTAAACGGTAAAAAGCAACTAAATAAATAATATCAACATAAAATAAATACACGGTTTACAATGTTATATAATATTAACATTAAACAAAAATCGTTTTTGTCAAAAGTTACGTTCGATGGAAATTCACATAATACTCGTATGTATGGTACATTTTTAATAGTTTTATAGAAATATATACACACACACACACGATATGCATATACATATATATGTTTTACAATAAACCTACACATATGTTATTGCCTTTGGGGAAGTAGCGGAAAAAAAACTAAAAATTAAATTAAAAAAAATAATAACTGGCCCCGAGGTCAAGGGTGGTGTAAGTATTTATAAATATTATACAAAAAGGAATAAAAAGAACCGTTTTTCTTTTATTTCGTTTTCATATCTACAGATTATCCCGAGGTCGCTTACAGTCTTTCGTGCATACACATGCGCGCGTATCCTTTTATGTACCTTTATAAACGTGGTGAAAACGTGAATATTTATCCCCGAAATGGTGGTGGTAGTGGTGGTGTATATTATAGATACCACCGCGGGCACGTAATCAAAATGTCATTAGCGAGATTACCCGGGGGCCCCTGAGCCCTCCACGATGCCGACGTTTTTAATACGCAACTATTTAGACGTGCGGCGGCGGTGGTCCCGTAAACGTGCGCGTGCATTGTATGAAGAACATTGCGCTTCTGCTGCCCCCCCCCCTGCCGAAGGGTTGAATGTAGTTTGCGGGGGTGGTTTTATACGTCCAGAGTAAATATCCAGCTACCTTCTATTAGGGTTCAACAGTATGTATGTGTGTTGCTGTAAAATAGTAGTAACCGGAATCGATGTCAACAATATCTCGACATATTATTAGAAATCTCGAGCGGCCGTGTTTTATAATATAAAATAAGGTGCACTTATACAACGTTGTTGGATCGTGGAGTTATTTGCGATTTTAATTACTAATTGATGTGTGTATACCGTATGAGGTAGATACTTATAACCATAACAGTTATATATAAGAACAAGAATCTATATAACCGTTTTTAACCTCTACGTAGAGCTGAATTTACGCGGGCGCAGGTGTCGCTAATTAACTGCAGTTATAAAAGATCATTTTCTAATTTGTAATATATCAAAAATAGATTTCACACTTCTATGAACGGAGACAGACTTAATCAAATTGTGCTCAGAGCGTGATATTTTAAAGAAAGAAAATTAACTTTCAAAATGTAATTGAAAATTTTGTGAATATAAAATTAAGAAAAGTTCCAGGCATTTAATTTTAATCATGCCATTTAAAATTATTATTTGTATTATTAATTAAGTCTTAAACTCTTAGTAATACATTTTTATACTAAATTAAATAAACAGCATATCAAAAATATTAAATGTTATAAAATGATCAAAAAATGTATTGTCCTGTTTATTTATTTTAGGACCCACAATATATTCCACCCACGATTTACTACATACCTAAATCTGCCTCTGGCATAGACGTTTATAATTTAAAATATATAAACTGCGTACACTGTTACAACAGTGCTTTTACGATTTTTTTTTTTATTTAATCACAAATCAATAAAATATAATACAATATTTCATAGGTGTACGTATATTAAATCATTTATATCAAGGTAATAAAAAAATATAAGTACATTTATAGCAAGTAATGGGTACAATTGTGCACAAATTATTACCTGGGGCGTTATAAGAAGTATACATATATCATGAACGTAGGAATACATCGTATACTTAGAATCTTTTTTTAATTAATCTACGGAAATAGATTTATAAAATGATTTAAAAACTAGCCATGAACCTTTAATTAATTCCATTTAATCTATACCATAAATTATTTCATTATGTTATTTATTTCACAATTCGTTATCTTTGAACTATAGATACTTTATTGTTTATCTATGCGGCTGTTTTAATGTACATAACTGGGGACTAGGACACCGGGTTTTTATGTTTTATAGACAGATAAACAACGTTATTAAAATAACGAATGTTATATTTACAATCATTTGATCAAAAATTAAAAGACCGTTAATAATAATTAAAATACAACAAATATAAAATTAATGCAACGTTGATATTATTCTTAAAACATGAGTAATTATTTACAAAATATAAAATGGAACGCATTATACACGTTATATGTTTCAAGTCTCAATTAAAGAATATCCGAAGAGATAATATTATAACGAGTTCAATTTGTAGATAATAATGAAAAGGGCTCGGAAGTTCATGCATTTGCATATCAATCTTGCTAAGCTGTATTTAATGCTAGATGATATAGAAATCCATTTCAAGGTATCACAGTTATATGTGAAGTTTTATTTTGTATGTTTTTGCATATTTCAAGGTTTTTTGCCTAATTGACATGTTTATGCACTTTGCTATTTTATTGGACATATTATTCAAAATTTTGATATTCCTATAATATTATTATGATGAAAAAAGAAAAATACGATCGTTTATAAATGGGAATTTAGTTACAACATAAAATGATTAAAAATAAAATGCTAGTAGTCATTAAGTAATTTTCATTCAGTTTATCAGTGAAATGACTTTGACGCAAGTTCATGTAGACCTAGTAATATTTGAAATTTATTTATTTTTTTACGTTCTTAAATTAAAAATAAAATATAACTTTTATAAAATTAATGGAAAATTTTTGTTATTTCGAAAAATTGTCAATGATATAATTTTTTTAATGCGCATATTTTAAATGCATAATTACAGTTTTTTAGTGCATATAAATGCATACGTTTTAACTTTTTAATGCATATTTTGCCAATTTTTAATGCATCAGTGCATCCTTATTTAGGTTATTTTAGGGCATGAACTTCCGAGCCCTGATAATGAGTATAAATATAGTAGATTAAAACATTAGATGTAAAAACGTTAATTTTTAAGCATCTAATCAAAGACGGTGTTTAAAGTTTTATGATTATATTAATTTTACAATGTGCGCGTAATAAAGTCATTCAAGAAATATCGAATGAAAAGACGCAAAAACACAGACTTGCGTAGCCGAACAAAAATCAACAGACGTTTATGTTTGAATTATTTTATACTTGGCGGTAATCAAAAATATCGCGAACTGTTAACAATACAATAAGCTATGATGATAGTACATGGTGTTCCGTTGTTAAATGGAATAGTACGCACGGATAAGGAGGGTGGTCATATCGTTGTCAAGATTTATATTAGGTAAAATAATGATGAAGTTTAAATTTTGTTAAAACTGTTAAACTACATTTTTTAATTGAAGTAACTACAAATGTGAGCTTATTAATTCTGTGTACAATAATTTATAGTACTGTTTACGATACAATATAAAATATGGGGAGAGGAATCGTCGCGGCGGACGAATAATAATGTAATATGTTATTATTATACACCGATGGCAAAACCGGATTACAATTTTTGCCCGTCGGTAGTATTTTGCGGAATGGTGGTGATGGCGGAGGTGGAACGAGGAACGAGAAAAAATCCTAAAAGAAAAAATCTCACGGATGCGTTTTTGCGCGGTTTTCTTCTGCTGCGGTACTCGACCCGGCCGGGCTGTCGGCGGCGCGCGCGCACTAGGTTTGACGGGCGCGTACGCGACATGCAATATGCATGAGACGACCGCGACGATGACGACGACGACGGACCGGTTGCTGTGGCGGCGATCGTCGTCGTTGTCGTCGTCGAGCTTAATTACACGGACAGTTAAAACGAAAAAAAAAAAAAAAAAACTCGAATGAAAAACATAATATTTTATTTCCGACCAATCGGACGACGTCCGCGTACTGACCAATGGGGTGTTGACGAGTGACGAATACGACACGAAGTATGTGCGTATGTGTGTACATATATATATATATATATATAAATATGTATATTATATTACGAACTATGAAAGAATCACTGTTGTGCGTCAAAGGAATAAAATACGCGTAAACATCGCGTGTACCTATTGTAGCGTTGAGATTGAATTTGCATAAATTAGCTTAATTCAAGCTATACTGCAGTATACACCCTGTATGATGTACGCTAGATTAACGTTTCTTAATCTGAGAGGTGTTCAAAATTCCCAGGCGTGTGTGTTCGAGGGAGGGGGGGAGAGGGTTGAGATTTAAAACGTAAAACAAAATTAACCGCTGATTTTCAAACAATGCTAGAATATTTATTTGCATAATACGATTCAATATTTTAAATCCTTAATAAAATATGACTTATACCAATGTTATCGAATTATCATAGAGTTGATCTTTATCCTACAATTGTACAACCATGGATAAGTAGTAGTTATATCGATACTCTAGTAACAGAGCATACGTTTTCTATGGCCTAAATAGTATTGTAAAACCCGTCGAAATACTCGAAATGTAAAAACGTGGCTATTTCGTTTTATAATATTTGTAATAAAAATTCATTTATTTTAATGGTTATTTAAAATTCTAATTCACTTTTATTGAAAAACATAGAAGCAGTAGTTCCCTCTGCAATGCGTCAATATTTTTTATTTATTTATATTTACTAAATATTTTATAAGCGATTTATAAAAAAAAAATTATTGAATTAATAGATAGCGATTAACGTTTTTGAAAACTTCAAAGATGTCTAAAAAAATATAAATTTGAAAAACATTGCGCTTAGTGTACATAGTGTATAATATATACACTATAGTACTTATAGTTTATGGTAATATTTTTTAATACACTATTTAACTGCTGTGTATATATAATATTTTCAACTACAAGCGTGTATTCCACCTGCAGGATACTATATGTGTATAAAAATATAATATAATCGTGGTGAATGTTATATATCGTAATACTGTATATCTATACGATGTGGAAACTACATTGTTCTTACCCGTTGATCGAAGTCTTCGTCATGAACATATTCAGTACAGTTGACGCCAGCGATTTCCACACTTGCATAAATAGTCTGTCGCTCTGCTCAATCGAATCGTCCAGGAACCGTTCGGTATCTGCGTCTGCGTGCATCTGCACGAAACTTAAAGACACGTCATTGTCCAATTGGGATTTGTCCACAGAGTACCACTATAAACAAAAGACAAAAAATGAATTGTGTTACTATAACATATATATATATATATGAGTGTATTATTATAGTTAAGACTGTATACGGCTTGACCTGGCTTGAGGGATATTGAGACGGTTATTATAATAATAAATACTTTAAATAAACAAGAGGCTTTTTTTTTAATGCTTTATTGTACCGCCTAACAATAGCAAAAAAATATATTCTAAGAACGTGTAATTATTATAAATTTTTATAAATAATAATAAAACGGGAAAAAATAGTTTTTTAAATTTAATACACACATGACGTAATACATCATAACTACTATATACCTACCCGCGCAGTAATTATATACTGTAATGGTGTTTACCATTTTTTTTTATTTTCCGTTGCAACTTGGGGTAGTTACATAATATATTAATAATAGCAGAAAAAATAAAATATATACAAGCTGGACTATATAATAGGGATGACGACAAGCCAATTTTTACGACTACCGATCATATTATTATGTCCATTGTAATCTACTGTAATACATAATACGACTAATTAGACCACGATGTGTGTGTAATTATACACAAAACACATGGCGAATAAGAACGTATATACTTATTTATACATATATATTATTTATTGTTTTTATTTCATTTGACCTTCTAAACATTCTTATGTTAAACTCCTAACTTTGGTTTACAAAAAAAAAAAAACCTGTGTCTATATGAACAGAAGACCATATTTTTAAAATCTATCTATCGTGTTTGCTTGTTTTTAATGAAAATTTAACTAATAATTATAAAACCGACTCTTATTCAGAACTAAATCATACACTTTTACGGAAGTACAATATAATATAAGTATTGTGTATTAATATTTGTATAATCAACAATCTAAACATTTACAGTTTTCCGTAAAACACTTATAAATATGTATTAACTGTTTAAACCAATTGACGTAAACAACATGATATGTCAATAGTGTTGTATTTTCAACAGTTATATTATATTTGATAAATATTCCGGATTTATTTTTAATTTATTCTTACATTTTTATCATATAAAAATTTCTGCACGCAATGACCTTTACTAAGTTGTTAAATATAAAATTATACAACAAATTTACCATTAAATATATTAAAAACAATAATATGTATATATTATAAATAACTTTGTATAAATTATCAGTTCGTAGATACTAGATATATTTATTTTATTATTAAAATAATAAATAAATACATAAAAAGTTTTATATTTAAAATTCAATACAGGTTATAGGGTTAAGATTTATGACAATATCTAAGCAACGTTCTCAATTCAAAACTATATCCAATAAATATACAAACTCAAATTAAAATATTTTAATTGTAAACAATACGTGATTAAAATTATAAAAGCATAAATACGTTTGTTCGTTTACCTTATACAATGTAGTATGTACGTGTTATTAAAACAAAAGTAAATAATTTAAATTTTTTTCCAATTTAAAATAATATAAATACAAATCATCATCAGATCTCTAAATGCTTTCATTTTTTGACACACAACACCACTGAAACAGGATAAGAATGATTATTTAACACTCATGATGACTAGTGACAAAAATGCCGTATAAACACTCAAACACTATACACTTATTCCTATAGGTTTTAAGTTGTCCGCTGAGTTATAGGAAATCATTTTTCAAATATTTACGAGCATGGGGATCGTATGATAAACTGACCCGATGAATCACCCTATTCGAGGTAAATATTTCCTAAAACTCGCAAGTCCTCTTTTGCAGTATAGTAATGCCAATGGCCTGGCCTTTATCCAAATATTCTCACATACATATACACACGATCTAAATGTCACTTAAAGCGGATAAGGGTTAATCATGATGTGTTGGCACGTATAAGGCCAAAGAATTTTTACGATGTCCATAAACCATGCGGATGGACAATATAATAATATAATACCATTAATATGCCCTCGATATACAATAATAATAATAATAATGATAATTTATTAGCGATATCTGTAGTGAACGTTAAAAATGAACGTGTCTTGCGGCCATATTGGAAATTAACTTTTTAATTCTTTTCCCCCATAAAATATAATATTGTTACGAAACTAAGACCGAACGCACTCGCGGTGACTATAGAACAAAGTAGTGTTTACGAAGTATATCAGAGGAAAGAATAATATCACGGACATTCGAATCCCAGCTACTAGGTTGATGATTTACTCAAGAACTGAGGTTTGTCACGTACGGAATACAATTAAATATATCTGTTGCATATGTAAATAATATAAAACGTGTATTTATGTAGAGTTGACCTAGTATATATATGAAGTATAGGCGAGGGATTTTAATTATAAATCAAACTTTAGAAACATGGACGAAACGAAAAGGTTATTATTTATTCAATAGCACAGAATTATAGGGGAGAAAGGAAAAAACCCCTATATCAACTTTATTACAAATTATTATTAGTTTTAATAATTGATTGGCCGACGAGCTCATATTATATAACATGTGGGAAATATGACCAGCAGTTGCTTAAACATTTAATTTTCCGAGAAAAAAATCGAGTCGACGACAAATGAAAAAGAAATAAAAGACATACACACAAATATATACATACACATTACTCATTCATTAATGTCAGTCATTCCTGAACTCGTTAAGGACAAATAATAATTGTTACCTCAATAACATTATTGGTAATAAATGAATAGGTTTCTCATATTTTTTTTATTTTATAACGATACAACTTTATGCCAAAACAACAACTGTCAACAATAAATATTAATGATGGTTTAAAACAGTGAGTTATGGTTTAGATATAATTGAAGAAAAGTAGGTTGGAATTTTTAACTATTTTT